GGGGGGGGGTGGAGGGTGGGCAGGGGAGGGGAGGGAGTGCACATCTCCCTGGGTCATCCCAAATGGGCTCTTCATCCCTGCTTGCCACTCCAGTTCTGTAGGGTAGAACTCCTGACAAGCTGTCAGATCTCCCCTCTGTCACTGACAGGTCATCAGTGGGGACTGAGCCCTGTCTCCAGGGGCCTTGGTAAAGAGGAAGGATGCCACCCGTGGGGCCTGGCTCATGGCCCCACATCCCGGCACCCCCAACTGCCTCAGAAGCTCCTTCCATGGGCTGATTCATGGAAAAGATTTGAGGACTGCAATTTCTAGGTCATATAAATGGAGCTAAATCTTACACTGTCTTATCAAAGACCTGATTCTGCCTGAGTGCAAAGGACTGACTGGCAGGTTCTGGTGTGCAAATTCCCTTGGGTGATGGTACATTGGATCTTGTTAAAACCCCTCAGTACTGTACCATTTCATTCATCACAGAATGCACAGAGAGGGTTTAGCACAAGGGAAAGAACTAAACTAGTAATATTTGCTATGGTATCATCTAAGAGCAAGAAAAAATACTTGCACCACTTTAGAAACAGACATCTGAGATATAAAAGGGAAGGCCACATTCAGGAGAGACCCGGAATGGGGCAAGAACTGAAACCACAGGAGGCCTGTGAGAGTGTGCAGCGGACAGCAAGCACCAGGTCAGGTCTGCCGCACAAAGGCTGCCTTCACCGGAGTCAGCGTGGGCCACAGGCTCCACAAGGGCCTCAGAAACAGTGTGGGCCATGTCTGCCCGGGGAGAACCTTACCTGCCCAGGTAGGGCCATACCTGCCTAGGAAGGCCATACCTGTCCGGGGAGGGCCGTACCTGACCGGGGAGAACCCTACCTGCCCGGGGAGGGCCACACCTGCCCAGGGAGAACCCTACCTGCCCAGGGAGGGCCATATCTGCCTGGGAAGAACCCTACCTATCCAGGGAGAGCCATACCTGCCTGGGGAGAACCCTACCTGCCCAGGAAGGACCATACCTTCCTGGGGAGAACCCTACCTGCCCGGGGAGAACCCTACCTGCCCGGGGAGGGCCACACCTGCCCAGAGAGAAGAACCCTACCTGCCCGGGGAGAGCCATACCTGCACAGGGAGAACCCTACCTGCCCAGGGAGGGCGACACCTGCCCGGGGAGAACCCTACCTGCCCAGGGAGGGCCATACCTGCCCCAGAGCATGCTGCAGCAGTGTCGGGTGCCCAACAAACCGCACGTTATCAATCTTCAGTTCAAATTTTTGGCCACACATTTCAGACTTGGTTGCCAAAATTGTTGCCAGAATGACATCCGAAAACCTTAAAATTATAAAAGGGTAGAGTGGAAATAAGTAAACAAAGCGTCACAGCACCACACCCACCTGCCCTCAGAGAGGAAAGGTCTCAGGACATGGCAGCTTCGTGCGTGGAGTGGTCAACCCCCACTGCTGACTTGGAGATTTCTATCAGTTTCCCTTTTGAAGCAATCCCCAAGATCAGGGACATAAAATCACCAGAATTACAAGGTAAAAGGCATGAGAAGCATAGGCTGAAGGCACATGCTGTCATTTCTCGGCATGCTCTATGAAATTCAGGACAGAAACGAGTTGCAGTTTGCTTTTAAAGGGAGGACAACAGCTGGAGCTGGCACTGCCCGGAGAAGCCACTCACTGAGGCTCACAGACGTATTGGGGGGTTCCCCCAACTGGCCCAGGTTTGCCAGGCTGCACCCCACAACCCCCAGGACCTCCCATCCCCAGGTGTGTGAAGGGCGAGGGGACAACACTAACTACAGTGTGTTAATTACCTTCCTCACAGCACGGCTGTCTGGCTGTTTCCTCATCTGAGTTCTTACTAGGGATGAAACTTCTAAGATATGCAAAATATGCAGAACCAACGACATGATAGAAATGTGGGGGCACACAGGACTGGATGCCATGGAAAAGGAGGAACGGCTGCAGTGCGACAGCAGCTCTGGATACAATCTCTGTAAAACTGCAGAGCTCACTCCTTTTCAAGATGCATCTGCACCCTTGTGTCTCCCCACCAGCGGCCCTGTTCCTTCCTGCCCAAAGCGGTCCAGATAAGGGAAAGGCACCACAGGGAGGAGACTGCTGGGGGGGTGCAGTGTCGAGCCTTATCTCAGAGCCCAGGCTCCAGGGGCCTGCACTCTAGAAACAGTGATGAGCCATATATGATCTGGAGCCAGAAGGGAGACAAGACTGGTGCTCATTTCTCCACCTGGAAAAAGCATTTCTAACATCCAGGTCAGAAGGGCACACTGTGCTGGGGAAGGAGGCTCCACCTCCCCCAAGGCCACACTCTACCCCTGGGCAGGGAGACCCCTAAAGTCCCGAAAAGGGCAACGAGGACAGACACACACTGTGCATCCTGGACCTTCACTGAGGAGCTACAGTGAATCAGGGACTGCACCAGATGTCTCTCTCCTGGAGGAACCACAATGGGGGGGAAGAGACTAACACCTTAACACTCCAAAGGGGAAGGTCTGCTGTGGACTGCTGCTGCAGTTCAGCCCTGAAAGAGCAAATGACTTTGATATAAAATGATCTAGGAAGGGGGGTCGCTGCTTCGGGCTCCTTACACTCGGCAGGCCTCAATGTCTAACACTAGAGGCTAACTTGGAACCAGCCTGGAGCAAGAACCTTGTGGTGCTCAGCCACCACGCGGACAAAAGCGAGACAGGCAGCACCTCCGCAGCAGGCAGGCCGGGCCTAGCACTGCCAAGGGGGGCTGGTCACGGTGGCTTCCAGCCTTCCTCCAGGACCAACACGGTCCTCCAGGTATCCACACAAACCAGATGCAGGGGGGCTGGTCAGAACGGGCTGCCTTGCCTCTTGCACAGTCAGGACTGCAGTTGGACCTCCTGACACCGATGTTGTCAGAAACATTCTGGCAAACTTGGAACCCACAGCCCAAGCCCTTGGCTGCCCAGCGTGCGTCGCTCCTTCCCAGGAATACCGCTCTCTGGAGTGAATAAACCAGAGACGGCAGATTCCAGAGTATTAGACCAAAGGCATTATTACATGCTTTCTTCAAAAACTCTAAATGGGTCACTCTGCCCTGTAACTCCCATCTGAGGGTTACAGTGACGGTGAGGGAGGGCTTCAGAATGATAAACCCCTAACAAATACTTCTGCTCTCGTAACTGATTCAATGCCAACATTGCACACCCTATGTGAACAAACACTACCCCTCCACGGACAGTGATAACGGATAGGGAAACAACTTCCTACCATTCCAGAAGGTTCGCTTTTTCTTGTGATACCCACAATCTCCACTAAAAACCTCTGCTCTGTCACAAAGAGCCACAGACAGGCCTCAGCCCTGGGCTTCAGCCACCAAACCAGGAACCTGAGTTTGGCTGTGAGGTGAGTCCCGAGCTTCAGAGGCAGACAGTAGTGGCCCAGTTCACATTTATAAATATCCAAATGCAAAATGTGTCTTTCCAGGAGCCAAATAAAAAGCACTTCCGCCCCTAGATTCAGAAAGGACAGAACAGAGGGAACCAACTGGAGAGCCATGTACTGCTGAAGTTAAAAGCCACACTGCGCCGAGTGGCCCTTCGAGGAGGCCTCTCTAGGGTGGCGAGAGGGAGGGTGTTAAGCTGCTCTGCCTGACTGAGCTGGTCTGGACCACACAAGGATCCACTCACTGCAGCCTCATATTACACATTTATGATTTTAGCAAATGCTTGAGGGGCTTATACTTTCTGTACTGTGTGTGCTGACATAACATGCCCAAAGTCACAGAGTCTGCCATGAGATTTAGGGGAAGGGGACACAACTGACATAAATAGCAAAGTAAAACAAAAACAAGTGACGATATTTGTTTCCAAAAATAAAAGCACTTAACATGAATTAGCCCAGCTGGAAAACAGGGAAAACCTTCTATTTCTGCCAGAATATTCAGGAGCAGGACTTTTTCTCTGCCTTGGCAAAAAAAAAAAAAAAAAAAAAAAAAAAAAAAAAAAAGAGAGAAAAAGAAAAAGGGCTGGGGGGAGGGAGAGGCAGCATAGAAGGGAACTCAACTCTGCCCCCTCCTGTTCTGGGGGGCTCACGGATATCCTATGCATCTCCAACACCCAGGGGGATGCCCCATCAAGGGGACAGAGGGACCCACTTACCCACACCCTCCTGGAGAAGTGCCATATAAACTCCACAGGAACATTTCTGCCTCTAATGGGCACACACAACAGCATCTAAGCCCAAGGACCACATTTAGCACCCAGCCCTTGAGAGAGGCCTCCTGTAACTCCTCTGAGAAATGAAGGGAAGAAGCAACGATCAGAGGTCTCTCTTGGAGGCTGGCTAGGGAGAGGAGGAGCCTGTTCCTGCTGGCCTACCACCTTCCCGGGGCCACTGGTGCCTGCCTGGAGGAGGGGAGGTCTACGTGCATGCCTGGTCCCAGAAGTCTCCCTGGTACCAGCCAAACTCGCCTTGGCCTCTCAGGTAATGTGGAATAGCTAAATAACTCCAGGTGGAGAAAGGGCAGGGGCACTCATGGGGGATCAGGCAGTGAGGTCCAAGCCAGAGCCTGTGTGCCTCGTTAGTCATTTTTCAACACTGAGGGCAATCAGTTAAGCACAATTATAAGAAGAGAAGGCAGCAAGAATCAGGACAGAAAGGCGGCGGAGACGTCTTGGGCTTACCCTGCAACCAATCGCTCATCGGTTGGAGGACATGGCTCGCTGGAATGGGAACAGGACCATCAAGACCAAACAAACACACTGATTTTAAAAATCATGAATAGTTACAAGGCTGTTTTATTAAAACAAGTGTTAAAGTCTAGACTTTAACTGCTTAGGGCATTAACTGCTGAGGGCAAGGCTAAGCAACTTACCGGACAAGAAAAAAGACACAGACACTCGCCAAGTTGAAGACTTACCACAGTTTTCTCACAAAAGCTCAAACTCCCACGTGTAAACAGAGCCTGGGCACAAGTGAGTGTCTGTCTTCAGAAGCAAGAGCAAGGCTGGAAGACCCGGGTCAGAGCCCAACACCACACGTATTCACTTGACACCCATGCACGAGCATTTAATCTTTCTGATGAAACCATTTCAGTAAGATCCAGGGAGATCGCCACAGGGAAAAGCCTCATAAACACTGTAGAATGCAGTGAACATCGCAGCCCCACGTCTTGAGATGCCGTAACTGTCTGCAAAACCAAACTCAGCGTGCCTCGGCACAGCACAGGACGGCAGGCCCTTCGGCAGCAAATCTGTACATGATGGATGAGGCCTCTGTGCTACGAACTTTCGTTTTTCAGAGATATGTTTAAGAGACTCAAGGTCGTCTGCAGAGGCCTGTGTTCTGGGACATGCTGCTTTCCCAGTACCCTGCAACAGAGAGTAGGCCAGACCCCAGAGTGGAGACAACACTGGAGGGACAAGAGCCTGCCACAGCGCTGTGCCACCCTGCTGGGCCTGCTGCTCCCCACGGCTCTCACTGAGAAACGCCTAAGACCCACACGACAGAAACACACAACCAAGAGCCCCTTTTTTCAACAGCTCCCAAACTTCAGCTCATCAGTTTACCTAGTAAGAAAGGGGTAAGATGTTTTGTGGACTTTCCAAGATCACCCAGCAAGTCAGAATCCCTAGAAGCCCTAGTGCAACTCCTACCACCTTTATCTTCGACGATCAAACAGGTCACAACGAAATCCCTCTAGTTCCATCTGGGGCTTCCAAGTGTCAGCAGTGCTCTATTTCCACCCTGGGCTGTGGAGGTGACAGGTCAGACCCCGCTGGCATGTTTCATTTTGTTTTTTTTAAGTTCATTTATTTATCTTTGAGAGAGAAAGGAACGTGACCAGGGAAGGGGCAGAGAGAGAGGGAGAGAGCATCCCAAGCAGGCTCCACACTCAATACGGAGCCCGACGTGGGGCTCGATCCCACAAACTGTGAGATCATGACTTGCGCCGAAATCAAGAATCACACACTCAAACTGAGCCACCCGGGTGCCGCACCCCCCCCACCTCCCCCCTTCAGTGGCGTATCTTATGAACTTGTGTCTGCACCTCTGAGGGAGGCAGAGCCACCAACAAGTACTTTCCCCAAGGCACAGATGTTCCCATGATACCCAGACCTGGGAGGGGGAGTTAGAGGTGCCCTGCCACCCTCAGCATCTTACAAAGAGGCAAAACTGAGGCTCCTGGTCTAAGAAACATGCCCAAGATCATACCGTAGGATGCAAAATGGGAGTCACACCTGGAACCCGGAACCTGCACTTGTCCCAACACGTTGCCTGCAGGCATGTGCCAGTGTGGACACACCAGTGTAGACTCAGTGACTGGGTCAGGAAAGGGGTGGGGGATGCCCAAGCTTGGGGACAACACTGCTTATCCACATTCCGTACACTGACCTCAGCTCTAGGAAAGAGGGGCACCTTTTTTACTTACTTACTTACTTACTTACTTATTTATTTATTTCTGGG